CTCCTGTTTTAGTTATACATAATATACATAATATTTTCATAATATTTATCACCTACGAAGATTTATCGTTACATTGTTCACTACGCAAAAAGAGTGTTTCTTTGCAAAAATGATGTTTATTATCTAATTTTTCCAACATAAAAACAAAAAAAATTATTGTTTTATAAACTGTTTTAATTTACAGCAAAAAAAATATACAATCAATGTAAATTTGAACCTTAAATACAATTTCTGACCTAAAAACCACTAATAGTTTTGAAATGTTCTTAAGTATACTTACAGCAAGGTTTTACATAATTTCATACACGGACAAGAATTTATAAACGTATTTAATGATTTTTTTCATTAATCAAACCCATAATGCTCTAAAGGTCTTTCCAATACAGTTCCTTTGGTGTTTTCTTCAGTCCATGTTTTAAAGCGAGCCAATAGCTCTAAGCTGAGTGATTTTTTCCCCTCTCCTACCACGCCATTTCGACATATATTCCAGGTCTTGCCTGTAACTTTGTTCTGCAGCTTCTTCACTATAGCAAATTCATTTACCATGTTGAAAGATTTTTTGTTTTTCATGTTGGCGAAACTAAGATGATCACTGAGAGATGCCACTTGGTCAGTTGTGAGTTTTTTGCCAAGGAAGTCAGCTGTTTGGTTTATCACAGCAGGTAGGTCCTTCAACAAAAAGGTTGTACTGTAAGTTGCTATTCCAATGCTTTGACATGGTAGGGTGATAAGTTTATTAATCCAGCTACGTATAACTTGAAGCAAGAACATCAAAAACATATTTAAAATTAAAATGTAAAACGCATCTTACAATACAGATTTTGATAGAGCAAAGAATCCATGAATCGATACGGATGTTACCCAGGATAGATATGTTTACTTACCTATTTTAAATACCTGCATCTCATTTTAAGCCGATTATTATTATTTCATAAAAAAAATTCTCACATTAAGTTTATAAAACAAAATAAAAAATCTACATTTTATTAAAGACGTCACCAATCGCAAGGTTGCTCTATGGTATATTTAGGGGTTGTAATATCACAGTTATAGGTTTTAAGTCAGGCCAATGAAATGTTGTCATAGTAGTCAGGTTTATTAGTATTTAACTATTACCATTACAAGAATCTTAAAACAATTTTAGTAAAATAATAAGGTGGACAACTGCTGTATACATTTTGCACCAAATAAAAAAAAGTATTTAAATATAAATATAAATATTATTCTACTTCTCTCCCTTATTCTAATACAATTAAAGTAAATGTTGTTACCTTTATCATGTCTTCAAATTTCAAGTAAAGTATATTACATTTGTCTTTCTGTTCGCAAAATGACAGGCAGTGCCTCCAGTATGGTAAATACCTCACTGAAAAATCACATGTATGCATATTTTTTAGATATCGAATTGTTTCTCCATTTACCACTATGTTATATTGAAAAGAAAGTTTCTAATACAAACTAAAAAATGTGAATAAAAATAAATTGTTATTTATTTATTGTTATGATATGTAATTTTTAATATTAAGAATATTGAGAAATCTATGCTAAACATTTAATACAAAATAACTTCATACTATAAACCCGCTGCAGGCTAATCGAATTTAGATCCGTCAGATTGAATCATTACTCAATAGCACAGTGCAATTAGCTTAAAAAAGAGCGAACAGGAACATCAAAAAAGTTCCAAACCAGCACCAAATTGTTAAATACACCTCCCTCAATATGTAAAAAATACACTGATTTGAGTATCGTGTTAGGAGAGAGGAGGTGAAAATGGGGTCGAAATAGGAAATATTTTTTCTTTTTCGCAAATTACTCAAAAGCGGTGCGTTTTCTTTAAAATTCAGTGAATTACAAAAATAATCTCTATTAAATTTCGAACAAAATGATACCATACAATACCTATCTACTATGAATGGTTCAGGTGATATTGAATTTCGCCTAAATTTAAATTTTCGTAATTTTCGTATTTTAAACACCCATAAAAAACTGTCTAATGAGTGCTAAATTGTTTAATAGACCTCCCTTAATATGTGTAGAAAATGTTACACTGATTTGAGTGTCGGATTTGGGAAGGAGGGTTTAAAGAAATATGGAGGGGAATGGAACTTCTTTTAATATTTTGCAAATATCTCGAAAATGGTGCGGTTTTATTGATATATAATGAAATACGAAAATATATGATATTAAATTCTGAACAAGATGATACCATATATATATTATTTGCAATATATATATATATATAGTTGACACCTATCAACTATGAATGGTTTAGGCGATATTGAGGGGTAAATGTGATTTTTTTCTTAAAATTCTAAAAAAGTAAGAATTCAAGAGGTAGAAATTTCTCTGTGTTCACGTATCTAGGTAGGTTTGTCTTTTCAGATAGGTAAGTCATATTTGGTTAAATTGTCGATATATTTTTGTTAAAATGGAAAACAAACAGTATTACATAAAAAAATTTACAAAATTACTTATGAATAAAATTCCACACCTCGTTTTCACCCCCTCCTACCCAAAAATGTTACGCAAATCAGTGTAACATTTTTACACATGTTTAAGGGAGGTTTACCCGACGATTTGGCATCCATAACAAACTTTTTTATGGGTGTCCAAGGTTTTTCTCCATTAAAAAATAAAGTTTTTTGAATTTCAAGAAAAAATACACATTTACCCCTCAATATCTCCTGAACCGTTCATATTAGATAGGCATTGTATGGTATAATCTTGTTCCAAATTTGATGTTAATTATTTTCGTAATTCATAATATATCAATCAAAACGCACTGTTTTCGAGATATTTGTAAAATAGTAAAACAAGTCCCTTTCCCCTCTATTTTTATTTAAGCCCTCCTTCCCAAATCCGACACTCAAATCAGTGTAGCTTTTTTACACATATTAAGGGAGGTCTATTAAACAATTTAGCACTCGTTAGAAACTTTTTTTATGGGTGTCTATGGGTTTCCTCAATTTTTTTAATTTTTTTAACTACGTTTTTAGGATTTTAAGAAAACAATCGCATTTACCCTTCAATATAGATGTGCAGTATGCCTTTATAAGTTAAAATGGGCTCAATAATAAGCTCAGAAAAAGAATTAAAAATTTTGAAAAAATTAACATGGATCTCATGGGTTGTCATGCTAGTGACAAAATAACAACGAAATCTAAACATAAAATAAAAACAAATGGAAGAAACTCCAATCACATATTTTATTCATAGTGTGGTGTGAAAATAGATAAGTCTGTACATTGCATATTTTTGGTCAAGTTTCGACCACTGGACGACCTCTAGTATCAATAAAAACGCACCGTTTTCGAGATATTTGTAAAATAGTAAAAGAAGTTCCATTTCCCTCCATTTTTCTTAAAAAACCTTCCTTCCCAAATCAGACAATCAAATCAATATAACTTTTTTACACATATTAAAGCAGGCCTATTAAACGATTTAGCATTAGACACTTTTTTATAAGTGTCCTTAATTAAAAAAAAAACATGTTTTTGAATTTTTATAAAAAGATTACATTTACCCCTTAATATCGCCTGAACCGTTCATAGTAGATAGGTATTGTATAGTATCATTTTGATCGAAAATTAATAGAATTTTCGTAATTCATTGTATTTAGAAAAAATCACCGTTTTTGAGTAATTTCTGAGAAAGTAAAAAAGTCCTTTTTGACCTCATTTTCACCCACTCCCCCCCCCACCCCCTAACCCGACACTCAAATCAGTGTAACTTTTTTCACATATTGAGGGAAGTGTATTTCACAATTTAGCACTGGTATGGAACTTTTTTTGGGTGTCCCGGTTTAGGTCTAATTGCACTGTACTCTAACTATTTCATAAAGAAATCGTACTATTTCCCAATATGCAAAATATAAAATTTAAAAAGCACTAAAAATTGCTTGCAGGTCAGTACAAAGCGTTTTTCAGCAAATGTTAAGAGTACACCATGAAAAAAATTTATCTGAGTTATTACGTTCACACACACATTATACTCAACTTATCTATATATTTAATTCAAAGTTGTAAGTCTGTTTTCTCAGTCATTACTGGACCGATCTACAAGATTTATGTCTCAAATTAAAGAGGATAGTGTGTCGATTTGTCAAACTTCGTTAGAATTTACGTTTTCTCTAAGGGCTACGACAAGAACACTCTACAATAGTAGTACACTACACTACACTACCATCGTACTGGACCATTAATACCCTCTAACAGTGAACAAAGTATGCCAAACTTTATATATACGACGTAAACACAGCTGTTACTCACAGAATGGGCCAAGGATACGTGAAATGCGATCCACTATTGATGCGTGATTTACATGTTAGTGACTATCTTTATTCCGTACAACAAATGTAATGAAACAAACAATGTATATAGGAATATACTTGAGCAAATTATCTCCAAAGCATCAGTAGCTGCTTATTAGGTTATCAGCATTGCGCAGTTCGTATACTATTTATTTTTCAAGTGAAACTTGAATTAATATAAAATATTCATTTGGTTAAAGTAATAAATCGGTTTGATTAACATAAAATAGTTTATACAGGTATACTATATGTTCTATTTCATATAAAAAATTAAGCAGCCCCTAAATAAAATACAAAGATAAACAGTTAATTATTATGTCTTTTATTGCTGACAATGTTCCCGTGGCGGAGCACGGGCGGTTAACTAATAAACATTTTAACGAACTGTGTTTTAGCCTCCAGTGACTGGGTCCTAGGTGTATCTTAAAAACACCTACGGTGATAACTGACTGGCGAACTACTAAAACACTCAATGGAAATATAATGGCGAACTACTAAAACACTCAATGGAAATATAATTCATTCATAATTAATCATTAAATTCAAATATCATAATCATGGGAGCACTTTAATTTTTGTATCCCAAAACAGATTGAAAATTATTTTCTTTTATTTCTCTGGCAATGAACTTACACAAACTTTATATTTAGGCTACAAAATAAATATCAAGTTCCAGTTAGTTCGTTGCTTAAGTGCCATACTTACGACCACCTTGCATGAATAAGTCGGCGAAGTCTTCATAGGTAATTTCAATATTATACCATTGTTGATACATGTGAAGGTACGACATGCAAACATCCATTGGGTTACGCATTACGTAAATAATCTGTTGAAACAGGATTTTGTATTATTGAAAGAAAAAAGTGTAGATAAACAATCTTCTATATCTATAAAAGAGCTATGTATGTAGGTATGTATATACATGTATGCCTCCAAAGACTCCAAAACCGCTCAAACAGATTGTAATGCAACTTTCAGGCATTATTAAGCATTGTTCAAAGATGGTTTGTGTGAAGTTTGGTGCAGATCCGTCAAAAGGGCTTCGCCACAGGGGGGTTTAAGTGGACCAATGTCAGACTTTTTGAACTACAATGTTTACAAATAAATATAACTACCTGTTACCCAGTAACCTTTTTGTAGGTTTGAATAATCACAACACGCTGTATTAGTCATGATTTGAAATAGTGCCACAATTTTTCCACAGAGTGCAGCACAGCAAACAATTTTACTTTTGAATAATCCCAAATATATTAAACCTCAATCGCAGCACACCTGTGCACTCAACAACGTATACATTATCCAATGTTAAATATGTAAACATAAAAACCTTTATCAAAGTATTATAAAAAATAAAAGGGATGGCAATGCCTTAATGTTTTTATCTTTTTTCTATACCCACATGCGAAAACTTAAATCCACCGAGCTGTGCAACGTTACCAGAGTGACGATTAAAGAAATTACACCAAAATTGATTGAAGACAAATTATCAGAAGTAAGCTTAAAGGAGTGTAGCCACGATCCCAAGGTCTTCGTTTGTTTAACGTGTTCGATTTCATTAAAATTCAACGTTCCCAAAATAGAATTAATCCCAAGAATACTGATTTTTTCATCCGAATTAGGTTACCCTCTGAATTTAAGCAGCTACAATTTCCTTTACACCTTTCGCAATCACCATTATAAGGCCATAGGGCAATCCCTGACATTCGACGGTTCAGAAAATGCATGCATTTCTCATGAACAGCTGTATTTTGCGTGCTCAAGTGTTGGTTGATACGACAAATAACTTATCCTACTAATATTATAAATGAGAAAGTTTGGATGTATGGATGTATGGATGGATGTATGGATGTATGGATGTATGTTTGTGACAGGTGAACGCGAAAAATACTGGTCGGATTGGGCTGAAATTTGGCATGATGATAGCTCACATTCCCGATTAACATATAGGCATATTCTTATTTCAAAAATCATTTCGGGCTCCGCCCCAGTGGCTCTGGAGTTTCCCATGTTAACCTTATGAGAAATGAAATTATTGAATCTTAACAGCTGATTCAATTAAACAAGTTGGTTCTGTTCTGTGATGTTCAATAGCATTAAAGTTACAAAAATTACCAATAGGGTGCAGCACTATTATTTCTTTTACATTTATGACAACAGCTAATTTGCAACCAAAAGGTGAGTGAGCGTAGCGAACGAACATCAACCTGGAGGCGAGTTAGCGTAGCGAACGAGCTAACCTGAAGGCAAGTGAGCGCAGCGAACGAGCTCCAACCTAAAGGTGAGTGAGCGTAGCGAACGAGCTCCAACCTAAAGGTGAGTGAGCGTAGCGAACAAACTTCAACCAGGACGTGATTGAGCCATGCGAACGAGATAATCTTGAAAATTAAGAAGTTAAACGGGGCAAAGCCCGCGGGTTACAGCTAGTATATTTATACACCTAATAAAAAAACAAAAAACATTGTTTATCCACTGGGAATTAAGTAAAATATTCCATTTTTATTTTTGGTATTATTTATGGTTATTATTTATGGTAAGGAACAAATTACCATTTAAAATAATAGTTGTTGTGCAGCAATGCGCACCGGGTAACTAATAGTTATCCTACTAATATTATAAATGAGAAAGTTTGGATGTATGGATAGATGTATGGATGTATGTTTGTGACAAGTGAACGCGAAAAATACTGGTCGGATTGGGCTGAAATTTGGCATGATGATAGCTCACATTCCCGATTAACATATAGGCATATTCTTATTTCAAAAATCCTTTCGGGCTCCGCCCCAGTGGCTCTGGAGTTTCCCATGTTAACCTTATGAGAAATTGAATTATTGAATCTTAACAGCTGTTTCAATTAAACAAGTTGGTTCTGTTCTATGATGTTCAATAGCATTAAAGTTACAAGGGTTACCAACAGGGTGCAGCACTATTATTTCTTTTACATTTATGACAACAGCTAATTTGCAACCAAAAGGTGAGTGAGCGTAGCGAACGAACTTCAACCTGGAGGCGAGTTAGCGTAGCAAACGAGCTAACCTGAAGGCGAGTTAGCGTAGCAAACGAGCTAACCTGAAGGCAAGTGAGCGCAGCGAACGAGCTCCAACCTAAAGGTGAGTGAGCGTAGCGAACAAACCTCAACCAGGACGTGATTGAGCCATGCGAACGAGATAATCTTGAAAATTAAGAAGTTAAACGGGGCAAAGCTCGCGGGTTACAGCTAGTAAATCGATATTTATAAAAGAGGAAATTTATATATATATATATAATATATTTATTTGAACGTCATGGACTCCTAAACCGCTCGACAGATTGTAATGAAACTTTCAGGCATTATTAAGCATTTGGTTTGTGTGAAGTTTGCTGCAGATCCGTCAACAGGGCTCCGTCCCAGTAGCTCTGGAGTTTCCTATGTTAACCTTATGAATACTTACATTTAAATGGAAATAAACTTAACAGCTGGTTCAACTAAACAATTTGATTCTGTGATGTTCAATAGCATTAAACAGTTGATAGGTTTACCAACTGGGCGCAACACTATTACTTTATTAAATTTATGACAACACTAATTTGCAACCAAAAGGTGAGTTAGCGTTGCAAACGAGCTAAACTGAAGGCAATTGAGCGCAGCAAACGAGCTCCAACCTAAAGGTTAGTGAGCGTACAAACGAACTTCAACCCGGACGTGACTAAGCGATGCGAACGAGCTCATCTTGAAAATGAACGAGCATTAGACATAAAAACACATTAGGACAAGACGACGTCTGTCGGGCAACCTAGTATGCAGTACATATAATTTATAAAATGTAACTTTATTGACTTGAACTAATAGTTAAGTTATGCAAGATATACAAGGTTTAGATTACTTGTTGAGTCAATTGATCCTTGTGTTACAAATATAAAAAAAACTGCTGATTCGTGCTGCTAAGCTCTAGGTTTGGAATACTATAATCTTCAGGTTGGAACGATGAAAATCAGTTTTCTCATCCGTGAATGAGTTCATCAGCATTTGTACGTTGCACATTTAGAACACATAACACAAAACCCATACGATTTTATATCTTGCATTATCTTGATCCAGGGGCTAACCCATCATGAAGTTAATGTATCAGCACGCCATGTAGTATTTTAATAACGGTTTACAAAAAAAAAAAAAAAAAACTTCAAAGGTTAATATATTCGTTTGTTGTATCCACTTTCAAGGCATTTAAAAAATATTGAATTAATTGAATGGATTTACAATTATAAAAATCTTTAAAGGTAATATCTTATGATGTATATAATCCATAATATGATAATCCCTTCCCTCAGCTACTAGGAGGTCATGAATAACTGGAGGTCATGACCTACAGTTTAAAGTGGAATCCAAACCACATTTTTGCCTTGTATAACGAAATTAGTCTAAATTGGTTAGTCCCTACTAGTGAGCACTTATCAGTACTATCATGATAATTAGACCAATTTCGTTATACAAGGCAAAAATGTGGTTCGGATTTCACCATATACTGTAGGTCCCTTAGTTTCATTTGCTGTATAGGCTATTAATTAACAGCTGTGTAAAAGGAATAAGTCGGTCTTTGTCACTAACAAGACTACAAGATCGCGCCACTCATTATACACTCAACCTTCACTCATATTTGGGTTTAAAATATGCACTCAGTGGCATCCACATCTTAATTAATTGATATATTCCAATGTCTGTTACCTTTGCCTTAACAGCTCCTTGTTGAATTTGTAAGGGCAGCATATGGAAAGGCATGTGGGTCTTGATAAATCTTGGAGACTTCATCGTTTTTACACAGTTAATTGAATCTATAAATAGTTTAGGATCCACATGAAACTCATTATCATTTTCAGCCACAGAACAATGCCTTAACAAATGTTCAACCCTAAAACACATTTTGTATAATGGTGAAATTCAAATATAAAAAAAATGTATAACAAATAAGACTAAGCAACGTGAATAAATTTCGTGTAAAAACTGAACTGTGAATAATTATTTTATGAGGAGACAATACACCTAAAGTTATTTTACGATTTTGTATTCACAGACAGTTTGAGTTTTGTTCAAAACCTTTTTTTGATAACCCCAGACAGCCTGTTTGTACTAAATTGCTATTCTAGGTATGAATTTTACATAATACGCTTATTAATTTAAAATAAACCAATATCTAAATGAAACGGTCCATTAATATAAAATAAAGTACTCCTGAAAGACTTGTTTCTCTTTTTTCCATTAATTAAAGTAATGTAATATTTTGTTTTAGGTTAAACAAATAATCCAAGAAAAACTTTAACAATTAACCTGTTTTGTGCATTTATTTTGTAATTTAAGCTTACTCAAGGGATGGCACTCTTTGTAGGTGAGGAATTTCAGAACCCTTGTAGTCTAAATCATTTGATATTAGCCAAACCATTTCTGCTGACCAATGCGTTCCTGAAAAAGTATGAGAGGGTGTATCAAAGTAGTGTAATTAATTATTTTTACTAATAGTTGTATATGTAAATATACAAAAATATTGTATATATAGCTTATAATTTTTGTTTTGTCATACACATTGTTTTGTATCCTAATTGTTGTTTATCTTTTTTAATTAGTTATATTGACAAGAGTTACTTTGTAAAACAGCTCTTGTACTGAAAGACGCTCGTAAATAAATGCATATTTATTTATTTATATATGTTTGAGGTATAACTCTTTGATATTGGTTTTCATAATCCGTGAAACCAATAGATATTTTTTGTTATAATATGAAATATTATTGATTTTAAAATAAATAATATTTAGCAAAACAACGCACACACATACATTACCTACTTTAAAATAGCCTGGACAATTTTCATAATTCGTGTTTAGGTTTTAGGTCAGCTTAGTAAGACTTATACATTTGTTCATTCTAAAAATCTTTACCACATTGTTTAAATTTTATTGTATTAATGTTAAGCATACTAATGCATATTAATATTAATTAAGTTTTTTTCATGGAATGATTGATTACAACAAATTGATGAATTATAACACAATTTGATTAACATATCAAAATGCAAAAATGCAAAATGAGGTAATTTTAAATACATTTTTATATTGTGTAGAATAACATAGGATAACAGTGATGAATACGACCATAAAATCATATGCAGTACAGTGTCTGTCAAAAGTTTAAGGACACGCCTAGTAATCATAATAATTACTGTCTACTGTCCTTAAACTACAATATTATTACAATATTGTTTTGTTGTTCTAGTCCGTGTTTTGCTCTATTGTTAAATTTGATATTTATATTTTTAATTATTATGTTTTGTTATATTACTTCCTATTTATACTGTTGTTGCTGGTTATATCTTATATCTTGTTATATTTTTTTTATCTTATATCTTGTTGTGTCTATATCTTGTTAATCTTATATCTTGTTATGTAATAAAAAATAAACCATTGAGTTACTAGCTTACGCCGTCATGATTTTATACACGAAAATTAGGTTAAACATATGTGACCACAACAAATTAAGAGAAAACTTATTCATTTAAACTTATTAACGGCCCCGCATACCAGCATCAGACCGGTCACTCTGGATCCCTTTACACATTTTTTTTTTGCCAGAAAACAATTCCCGCCTGGTCTCCTATCACACATTTTTACATGCTTAAACCTATAATCTTACAATACTATTGTAAGACATCAAAAAACTTTATTGGCAAGTTTCATGTGTCTTAAAGTAACATAAAAACCTTGCGAAATGTTTATTGTGGTTCTCACAACGCTTAAAGGCCCTAACAGTTGATCTAGAGTGTCAATGATGTTTTCAAAAAGCGGAATGTACACACATAGCGAGTACCACACTCTTGAGTTGTGGCTTGGATGTCACTCGTCGCGGCCGGTGATTTGACAAAATGTACTCCCCTTGTAAATACCGATTGGTAAATGTGTATGTGTTTGTGTCTTGTGAACTGTATATAGTTTTTACTGAACGACGTCCAATGGACTGAACATTTTGACTGGAAGCCTGATGATAGCACAACGTCGTGCTGAAACCTAGGTCGCAATCGACTTATTTTGAACTGGAGACTGAAGGTAATTAAACCATTATATTAGTTAATATAAAACAACATACTCATCTGAAGTTTCATGATTGTGCAATTTTTATTAACCTAGGGATAGAAGTGATTGAACTAATCAAGTACTTCTGATCTTCTCCCTTGAGCTTCCATTATACATTCTATAATCCAAAAGAATCGCATGTACGGGCAAACTTATTTCCGTCGGAGGATTATAGATTTTTTTCTTTAAAATGGGGTATTTGGCCACAAGAAATCGAAAATTGGTCACAAGGCTGGAAAGAATCCAGTTTCCGTACTATAGCCCTTGAATGTGCCCATATTATCGACAATATCTTTTTGTAGCTGAAGTTAGCAAAAACAGCTGATACAGAAAATGTTTACTGCCATCATTTTGATTTACGTGTAAACAAAAATAACTGTTGCAACACATTTTTCTCGCACTGGAAAAAAATATTGAATGTGCAATCGCAAACGTTTGCCAAGGATAGCACAGCCTAATATGGCTGGGTAAAGTTCTAGGATCTGCGGCGAGGGAAACCACCAGGCCAAAAGCTGGGTCTAACAGTACACGGGCACTGTGACCAAGTCAAAAACAAGTCACCAAAACAAACGTGCAATAATCACCACCAGGCCTACGACGATTCTCCACTCTCCTAGTGAGTCTTTGCTGACTAAGTTACTCGGGCTTCATCCTAAATATCCAATAGTTTAAGCCCTGAGTGCCTAAAACAAAGTGAGTTACACGACAACTTGCCAATAAAAACCACAACGCGAGTTATCACCATGCGGGGTCCACTCAGCCCCTATATTCCAATACACAACTCTAATGCCCAAGCTTACAATCAACCCGTTCACTCAGTAATAATACCATATAATAATACAAGTGCACTATAGGCGCGAACCACGCGAACCGCCAAGTACCTTGGTGTTATGGTGGACAACCAGTTGAGCTGGAGGGACCAGATCTTCCGTACGGCGGACAAGGCTGCTAGGAGTGTTGCTGCTCTTAGTAGGCTTAAGGCCAATGTCGGTGGTCCCCGGTCCAGCCGTAGAAGACTACTGATGTCTGCAGTCCAGTCCATGCTTCTCTGCGGCTCTGAGGTGTGGGCAGACGCGCTTAACAAGGAGGCGTATAGGTTGAGGCTCGCACGAGTGCAGCGTCAGGCGGCACTCAGGGTCGCTTCCGCGTACCGTACGGTGTCTGAACCGGCCGTTTTGGTGATCGCTGTCCCGTGAGTTATCCCAGTCAAACTCTTAGCAGCGGAGAGGAAGGCAATCTACCAGAGACAAGGATACATCGGAAAGGGCGCTGCAAGAACAGAAGAGCGCTCCCGCACTTTTCAGATGTGGCAAGAAAGCTGGGAAAGGGAGACTCGAGGACGTTGGACTGCCAGACTCATCAGGCAGGTCCAACCGTGGGTGGAACGGCGGCACGGTGAGGTTGACTATTACCTCACGCAGTTCTTGTCAGGTCACGGCTATTTTCAGTCGTACCTGCACTTAATGGCCAAAACGAATTCACCTGACTGCATTTACTGCCCATGCATTCCTGACGACGCGGAACACACTTTTTTCCGCTGTCCACAATGGGATATGCTTCGCCAGGAGGCCATTCAACATCTTGGGGTGCTATCGATTGAATCGATCTGTGAGACCTTGCTGAAGGGTGAGGACAACTGGGACTGCTGGTCGCACTTTGTCCGGAATGCCCTTCAAGCTAAAAAGAACGATCTAGATCGGAACATAGTCTAGATTTGATAAGAAATAAACGGCTAGACACGGCGTAAGCCCCTCGGGCGTAGGCAAACTCGGCCTAGTTCTGATGAAGTGCGACAAGTGTTCCCAGGCTAGTGTCCGAAGAGTAGAGGAGGTTTTTAGTGGGTAGTCTCTGGGCCTTAAGCCCGTTGGAGTCCCACACTACAGGCTAGCCACCTGTGTGCATAAATGCATTTTCCCACCTCTCCCTAAAAAAAAACAAAAAAAAATGCTATCCAAACACTAGAAAAATATATCTAATAGCCGGTACTACGCTATCCAAGCTACCATGATAACGTGTTAGATTAATAAACAAGCTGTTCAGATTAAATTAAAATCATAGAAACCCTACTACTACTATTACTCCCAAATCACCAATGGAATTTACCTAAGTGATATTGCCGTAACCCCTAGGTCTAGCCTGATGTAATGTGAAAAACAACACCGGGCTCGTGCCTAGCGTCTTAAAAAAAACCGCTAGTAAAATTAGCTACTAGCCTACTAGCCACGTGCTTCCAACTACGCATGCCAAATTGTGTAAGCCTAGGCTGGTCGGGCCTCAGAGTTATTAGTAAAATAACTAACTCTTGGTAAAACGCAAAATAATATCCCCCAAAATCAACAAAATATATTATTTGCGCTTTAACACCAGCCCAGAACCGTTAGGAATATACTTTAATATTATTCCTGACACCTATAAACCCTAACTACTGTGTCAGAATAATACCAGTTTGGTAACAACCCTAAACCTCGCAATAAAATCAGGAAATATATATTATCTAGATATTCTGTACAACACTGATGCCAAAATATTAAGGAAAGTCGACTCTCGTTACTAGCGGGTTTATACCCAAATTGAACACCAACATTCAATGTCCACCAGTCTCACTCATCGAAGTATATACTTCGATGGTCTCACTGTAGGCTACACCACCAACTTACACCCTTGTCACTAAAGCACTCGACGTCTCAACTGAGCTATTCACCAACCAGCTCTTCACTCACAGTCGGCAACGACTCGAATGTCTCTGTCCTAGAAGTTCCAAGATACTTTAGGCTTATCGTAACTGATAGCCGGGTCAAAGGGCGCTAGCTAGCTTAGCCACCACTTGTTGATAACAACAATAGGTGCACAGCCGAATAACAAAAACTTACCCCCCCTAGGAAAAATAACTCGTTACACTGTATTAATTAGTTTAGACAACACATTTTAAATAATATTTATATTCAGTTTGATTTTATATTACTGATAAGTTCTTTCAAAGTTAACTAGTATGATTTTTGATTGATATCTTGAACTTAACTGATTTAAACGATCAATAGCTCAATAGCCTATAATTTACTGATAATAATGCATACATTGCACATAGTGCCAAAGAAATCAAACTTCTTAGTAAAAATGGAGAAATAGGGAAGAAATAGAAGACCCACAACAAGTTACTAATGTATTTAATAACTAGGTGGCGTTCGCAGAGGCATCCACAAAATTGAGCGGAGTCATCGAGGGTTCATATTATAGTGTTTTTTTTTTTTTTGCTGTGAAAACTCTTTCAAAAACAGTCGTCATACGAAAACTCGTCATACGCATTTTTACTCTTTAGGGAGTAAAAATAGTTTTTAGCC